CCCAGCCCACAAGGGTCTGCGGCCACGAGCAATTCCACTGCCTGTTCTGAGTGCTCTGTGTCTTGCTTGTCACGGGGGCAGCCTGCCATGGGGGGTGGGGGGGTCTCCTCCAAGTGCCAGGAGCAGCGAGGGGGTGTGTGAAGTCTCTTAATGGGGAACTCACTAGGCACGAGAAACGTGATCAGAAACCACGCCCCCCCTCCCATACGGCTGCTCCGTATTCCCGGGCCACCTTCCAATCTGTTCCAATTAGAGTCCTTGTCTAATATTGAGATAGATGTTAGAAATGGCTTTAGGAAAATTAAAAATAGATCTACCCTACGACCCAGCAATTGCACTACTCGGTATTTATCCCAAGGATACAAAAACGGTGATTCGAAGTGGCACATGTACCCCAATGTTTATAGCAGCGCTATCAACAATAAATGAAGTATGGAAAGACCCAAATGTCCATCGACTGACGAATGGATAAAGAAGATGTGGTATATATATATACACACACAATGGAATACGACTTGGTGAATAAAAAGGATGAGATCTTGCCATTTGCAACTATATGGATGGAACTAGAGTGTGTTATGCTAAGCAAAATAAGTCAGTCAGAGAAAGGCAAATATATGATTTCACTCATGTGGAATTTAAGAAACAAAACAGATGAACATAGGGGAAGGGAAGGAAGACATAAGAACAGAGAGGGAGACAAACCATAAGAGACTCTTAAATACAGAGAACAAATGGAGGGTTGCTCGAGGGGTGTTGGGTGGGGGGATGGGCTAAATGGGGGATGGGCATTAAGGAGGGCACTTGTCGGCATGAGCACTGGGTGTTGTATGTAAGTGATGAATCCCTAAATTCTATTCCTGAAATCCTAAAAAAAAAAAAAAAAAAGATGACTTTGGGGGCACCTGGGTGGCTCAGTCACTTAAGCATCTGACTCTTGATTTCAGCTCAGGTCATGATCTCAGGGTTCATGAGTTCAAGCCCAGCATCAGGCTCTGCATTGACAATGCGGAGCCTGCTTGGGATTCTCTCTCTCTCCCTCTTTCTCTGCCCCTCCCCTGCTCGCAACATCTCTGTCTCTCTCAAAATAAATAAACTGAAGAAAGGAAGAAAGAAAGAAAGAAAGAAAGAAAGAAAGAAAGGAAAAAGAAAGAAGGAGAGAAAGAAAGAAATGACTTTGGATGGTGACAAATTATAGACCTATGCCCGCCCCCTCTCACCCTTGCCCGGCACACCCAGGGGTCCACACTCTGAATAGCACCCAGCCCTGCGTTCAGAGGCTAGTGTCTGATTGCCCAGCTCTGACGGGAGTTTAGTTGCAATCCTGCCGGGAGGATGTTGTATCTGCTGCCAGAGAACCTTCCTTTCCACACAGATGCTGATGGGGGTCTCGAAGGGCAGAGGGATGGCGCTCACCTGGACTACAGGTCACACAACGTGACCCTTTCCGGGTCTGCTTGTCAGTGAAAATCTCAGCTTCCGGCCCTTCACCTGCCTGAGTGTGCAGGCCACCTGGTAGGGAGGCTGGGGCGGAGGTGGGGGTGGCGGGTGGGGACCTATGGCCCTTACTATGGCTGTCGCCTTCCCTGCCCTCCATGCCTGCAGGACCCCGGAATCTGCCAAAGACAACCTGGTATCGGGCTTATGTTGGTTTGCAGAAGACGGGGGGGGGGGGGGGCGCGGGGGGGACTCCTTTGTCATGAGTCACAGATCATAGATTTACCCACCTTCCCTAGTACGAGGCCCGGAGAGGAGGCAGCCGGTCCTCGGGGCAAGCGGTGCCACAGGGTCCAGTGAGGGACTCACTGAGGTTCGTTGAGAGCTTTCTCTGTGCCAGCGCTGTGCTAAACATTCTCGGGTCCTGGCACCCTTGGTGCCTTGGTCATTGTCCACAGCGCTCCCAGGCCAAAAGAAATACCTAACATCTCATATCTATTTGCCAATTTTATTTTAGGTCCAAATAATACAAATTTATGTCCTAATAACTTAGTGGTCATTTAGGAAATAGAATATGCATAAATAGGAAGAGAAAACAGTACTTTTATTTCATTCTTCAATAACTACTTGGGGCACCTGGGTGGCTCAGCTGGTTAAGCATCTGACTTCAGCTCAGGTCATGATGTTGCCTTGCGTTCGTGAGTTGGAGCCCCACATCAGGCTCTGTGCTGACAGCTCAGAGCCTGGAGTCTCCCCCTCTCTCTGCCCCTCCCCCACCCGCACTCTGCCTCTCTCTCTCTCTCTCTCTCAAAAATAAACATTAAAAAAAAAAACAAAAAACCTACCACTACTTACTAATCAGCTGTGTGCACTGGCCAGCTTCTCACACCTTGAAATCAGACTGGACGCCCCCCAACCTCACTTCCTGGTCCATGGTGGTGACTTTCCCTTCTTATCCCCAAAACCACAGGAAACCCAACGTCTCAGAGATACAACGTGAAGGGAATGTGCCGTGATCTGATGTTGAAGCTGGGAGCCACCTGGATCTATTAGTTCGCTTGGGGTGGAAAGGTACGCAGGATTGCTGCTTCCCTCCCAAATTTAGAAAATGTAAGATAGTCTCTGCATCCTTGTGAGTTTCCTACGGAGCCACTGTGCTGAGGGGTTTCAAACATGTCTCCTTGTTTACGGACGCTGACTTTACCAAGAAGGAATCTGCGGCTCAGATGGGTCAGGCCCTTGCCTGAGGTCACAGAGCCTGGCTCCAAGGCCCCCTAGAGGTTGCTAGATGCAAACTCGAGCGAGGCCAGAGAGAAGAGAGTGGAGGCGTGGTTTATGGTGGTGGGCGTGGGGTGTCTAAGAGAACTGAGGCTGAAGTGGGTGTGGACACGGTCTGGCCTTGGCCTTCAGGGGGTAGAGGGGATGTGAGGGGGTGAGGAATGGTGTGGCCGCAGCAGAGGATCTGTTGGGATGCAACCAGGGCTTTATGACCCTCATGTGGCCCCCTTAGCTGTCCTCACCCAGGCGTTCAAAGCCCTTTCCAGTGGGGTCTCAGTTCCTCCCATGGGGGTCGTGGAGAAAGGGGCACCCTCGGGCTGTAGGGGGTCTGTGGCTCTCACGGGCCCGGCCGCTGAGGCTACAGCAGGGCAGTGGCCAAGTCCACCGGGGCTCAGACAACCATTCTCCCTGCCCAGACCAGCAGGGGCGACCTTGACACGGCTCAGAAGTGGACCTGGCTCCCAAAGGAGTCCCTTGGGGGAGCTGCAGGCAGAAACACCCCAATAGACAGAAAAAGGATGAGTACGGGCGGGAGGGCTGGAGATGCTTATGGAGACTGCAGGAGGGGCGGGGGGAGTTGGACCTTCGGAGTCTGTCGCGCCCTCTAGACCCACGAGGGACCGGCAGCCCCGTCACACTCTCTTGGCCGCGGTCCCCGCAGGCCAAGCCGGGCGCTTCTCTCTCCCGGGTGGACGCGGTGGGACCTGGAAAAACAGGTGGGTGTGGGGAGGGGCGGGGCTTCCAGGAGGGAGGCCGGGCGGGTGGGCGGGGATTAGGGGGCCCTCCCCCTCGGCGGGGGTCAAGGGGTCGGAGATCTTGCCCCAGGAGGGTCAGCCGGGCACCCGTCCCGGGCGCCCTCCTTACCCCCGCAGCTCGAGACTTCCCGGTCAGGACAATACAAAAGCTCTTTATTTCTCATTTTCTATAAAAAGTCGTGTCTCTTCACGGACCACGGGGGTATGATGTGCAAAGCGCGCGGTGCACTGGGCGGAGCCCCGCAGCCGAGAGCGGAGCTGGGGCGGGACCGGGGGCGGTGGCGGCAGGAGGACCCCGCCCCTTCTGGGGCCCGGGGAGGGGTCGTGGAGGGCGGCCCCGGAGGTGGAGGGGTCGGCTGTGCCGTCTGTCTCTCCAACCCAGGGGTCTCAAAGCTCCGTCTCGTCCAAGAGGGGCTGCGGGACGGGCCCCCGCTGCAGGTGGCCCGGGGGCTCCGGACGGCCGTTCCCGAACACGGGGTTGGGGGCCAAGGTCCTTCCTGAAGGAGGCGCAGTCACGGGGGCCCCGACCTGAGACGCGGTAAACCGAGGCCGGCGAGCAGGCTGGGCCCCCTCACTGCTCCTCGGGCCCGTCGCCTCCCAGGGCCTGTTCGTAGGGGCAGGGCCGGCGGCAGAGGCCGGCCGGCTCCGGGCCAGGCCGGGGACCCGCGGGCGGCGCCTCCTCCTCCACGCCGTCCCCCGGGCCGCCGCCGCTGCCGCCTCCGCCGCCGCGCTCGCCCTCCGCGTCGCTCTCGTCCGAGTTGTCCTCCTCCAGGTACCGGTAGCCGCGCACCTTGTGCTGGGGCCGCGGGATGCGGGGCTGGCGCGGGACCACACCCCGCCGCAGCTTCTGCTCCATCCACAGGTACGAGGCCGCGGCCGCCACCAGCGTCAGCAGCAGCACGGCCAGCTTAGCCTGTGCGCACAAAGAGGGATGCTGGGGACCCGCGGGTCACCGCCCCCGCGCCTTCCCCGCTTAGCCCCTCGCGGGACAGGCGCCCTCGCGTCCCGCATCGCACTGCACAGCTGCCCAAGCCACCTTAGCTTCCTGAGCACCCTGCCGCGGGCGAGGCTCAGAGCCCAGCTCTGCCCCTCCCTGGGGCTTAGCCTCCTGTGTCCCTTAGCGCAGGCACCCTTGTAAGAAATGCCTCTCAGACGTTTCTGGCTGTAGCCCACAGCCAAACGTAGTTCCCCATCATAACAGTCCATACACACATATAAGCAGCACATCCTGCTCTCATGTCTTCTATTTCATTTTTTCAAATGTTGGGTCTCGACCTGCTAAACTGACCCACCAGTAGGTGGGAGCAGAGCACGAGGAACCCCGCCCAGCTCAGAGCTCACATCCTGTGAACAGATCATCAAACCACCCGCAGGTGTCTGGGATGAACACCCAAGGAAAGAGAAACTGTGAACCCCTTCAGAGACAGGTAAACTGAGGCCCATGGGAGGTGAGGCAGTGAGCGGGTCCTGGGTTTGGAGTGGGCTTGACCCGGCCCTTGGGGAGTAGTGCCTTTTGGGGGGCTGTGAGGCTAGGGTGGGCACTCAGAAAGTATCTGCCTGGGTGCTGGCATGAGGGGTGCCTAACGCCCCCAGAGACCCTCCTCCTACCACGCTCAGGCTCACCTTCATGGGCAGGCTTGAGCCCAGGTACACTGTGAAGATGGCCACCGCCTGCCACCAGTGGTAGATGGTGAAGACGAAGTCTTGCCTTTCTTTGTCCTCGTAGAGGATTCCCAAGAGTGCTGCAGGTGGGCAGGACAGGGCAGGGAGGGGAGAGGGGTCAACCAGAATGGCTGATCTCCCACTTGTGACCCCCTCAGCGCCAGCACTGGGTTGGTCTCAGCCCTTGGCCTTGGAGCTCCTGGAAAGCCCTTGTGAGCCGGCCCTGGCCTGCCCCCTGGTGGAAGCCCCCGTTATTACGCTGCCTGGGGAGCTGAGCAGAGGCAGGAACAGGTGAACTTTGCAGGGGTACAGTGTGGGCCTCACTCTGGAGCACATGTGTGGTCTCAAAGGCGGAAAACTCTATATGCCGTCATATCCTGTCCTCTCTCGGACCCCAGGTGCCTAACGCCAGGCCTTTGGAGGAGGCTGTTTCTCCTCACCCTGGGCTCAGGGGGGGCAAACTGCTCGCAGCAACAAGCTTTCTGCAAATCAAACCTGAAAAGGGGAGGTTTGGACTTATTTTTCGAGGAATCATCCCTGGACTGGGAAGAAAGACCACCGGACAGGGAGTCAGGAGACTCAGGACTGTGAAATGGAGAGACTTAGTACAGAGATGAGGATTCAAATGTTGGCTCTATGGGGTAGTCTCAGCGTAAGTTAACTCCCCATGGCCAGTTTTCCCAACTGTAAATGAGATGCTGCATATTATATGTCGTGTTCTGAGGTTTTAATGTGAGAGCGCCCACAGAGCACCTAGCAAATCGTACCCTCACCTGCCACTCAGGACATTAACTCCCCTGCCCTAAGGCCTTGCAGTGTGACCGCTCCTCCCAGGGCTACTGTGGAGGGACAGGGAGCCCCCCCCCCCCAACAGGGTTCACAAGGAGGAGGCAGGAAGCAGAACTGGGCAGGCAGAAGGGGATTCCAGGACCAGGTCCTAATCCAGACCTGGTACCAACGCCGGATGCTGCCCAGATCTGGCGGCCTCAGAGCAACAGCTAAGAGAGTGTGGCCCAGAATGCAGGGCTCCATGCCCTATGACAGATGAGGATACCGGACTGTCTGATGGCGGGTGCAGGGGTCACCTGAGCCAGCCCCCACCCTGCCCACAGCAGGCATGACCTCCACCACACCACGCCCCCAGGGTGATGTTCAAAACTGTTAACAGCACTGGCCCATCACAGCGGATGCTGATGTGGAAGATCCAAATAACCGCACCAGTGTGTACTGACTGCGTGTCACGGGCATATGCCTACCTGGGGGCAGCGAGCATCACACAGCTGAACTCTGACCCACCCACCCCCAATTTTCTGCCAACAGAGTTCCACTCCCCGGGGCCCCCACCCCAGCAGCCCAGACTCAGGGCCCGGACCCTGCTACTCTGCAGACCGGCGTTGGGGCTTCATGCCTGCTCCCAGCTCTTCTCCATAAAAAGGTCATGTGTGCGCCTGCACCCTGGAGCGTGTACAGGGCCACCTGCTGCTTCCCAGGCTCCCTAGAGCACGGACTGGCAATCTGCTCCCAGTGTCAGGGTGGGCCCTGTCCTCTGGTTGGAAAGCAAAGTATCCCAAGTGTGGTTTTCCACACTGTCGCTCAGGGGTGCCCGCAGAGCCCTGTACCTACTCCGTGTAGCCACAAGATCTCACGCTGACCGCCCCCACCCCCAGTGGCCACAGGGCCCCAAGCCCACCCTGGGGTGTCGACAGGATGTCCATGGCGTGCAACTCCCATACCTGCCCCTGGTGCGTCCACAGCCCTCCTCATCTGTCCCTGCAGCCCATGGAACTTCCTCCCACTCCTGGGAGTGTCCACAGGGATGCTCACCCACCTCCACCATAACAGACCCCTGGTGTATCCGTGGGACCCCATGTCTGTCCCTGGGATCTCTGTGTTCCTCCCCAACCACCCCGAGGCAGTCACAGGGTCCCCTGCCCAGCCATCCCAGTGCCCATGGCTATACTCACTGCTGAGCCCGGTCTTATTGAGGGCACTGCCCACACCCCAGAGGACAGCCGCTACATAGAGGATCCAAATGTGTCGCAGGACCCGAGGTGTGGGGGCCCAGAAGAAGAGGCTGAGAGTGAGCAGCAGGTGCACTCCAGCCCCAGCCACCAGGGGCACCGGGCGCGGCAGCCACAGTCCCAGCAGGCCTAGGAGCGAGGCAGCGGAGGCGCCCAGGCTATAAGCCACGAGGAGGTGGGCCAGGCGTTCCAGCCCCACGGAGCACACACCATAGCCCTGGGGGGACAGGAGTGAGTGTCAGAGGTCAGCTGGCCCAGGCTCTGGCCCTCCCTACCTGAGGTCTTCAGGCCACACCCTGTCCCCTCTGGACCAAGTCAGGGCTAACTCCTGGGAAGTTCATGGGGAGCTTCTGAAGGCACAGACAGGGGAGAAGGCTTGAACAATGTCCTCGGATACCAAGGCTGTACCCCGCATGGAACTATACACTTTATGGGCGTTATTCTATCTCAACCATGTAACAGCTCTGGGAGCAAGCATGGTTATTAGAATCGCTTCACAGATAAAGGAAATTGAGGCCCAGAGAGGTTAAAATAACGTGCCTAAGGCAGTGGGGGAATGGCGGAAGGGAGGGAAGAAAGGAAGGGGGGTGTCTGGGACGCACCTGTGCATACTTACACATGTATTCAAAACCTTTAGCCGAAATACAAATTTAACCTGAAGTTCTGTATATTATCTGACAACGCTATGCAGGGGGTACTTACCAGGGTGAGACCAGTGCAGGCAAAGAGGACCTCGAAGCCGCTGTAGATAAAGAAGGGCACGAGGTGCCGCAGGCGGAAGTCGCGCACGTGCTTGAAGGGCAGCTGGAAGATGTTACCCCAGCCCACGCTGCGCAGGTCGATCTCCTCAGTGGGCCGGTAGGCGGCGCCGCACAGGCCCAGAACCTGCGGACCCGCGGGCTGAGGGGGCGGGCTGCCAGGCACTCAGGCCTCAGGCCCGGCCCCTAGACACACCCACAGACCTCAGCCCCGCCTCCTAGCCCCAGGCCCCACCCCCAGGCACATCCACAGACCTCGGCCTCACCTCCGGGCTCCGCCCCGAAACACACCCATAGATTTCAACCCTGCTTCTCAACCCTGGGCCCTGCCCCTAGACTCACCACAGACTTTAATCCCGCCTCCCAGCCCCCGGGCCCCGCCCCTAGACACACCCGCAGACCTAAGCTCCACCCCTCAGCCTTTGGCCCTGCCCTCAGGCTCCCCGGTAGACCTCGGCCCCGCCTCCCAGGCCAGGGCCCCGCCCCTAGACACACCCACAGACCCACAGACCTCAGCCCAGCCTCTCGGCCTCGGGTCCTGCCCCCAGCTTCACCCGTAGACCTCGGCTTTGTTCCCCAGCCCCGCCTCCAGGAAGATGCCACGCCCAAGCCACGCCCCCTGCACCTTAGTTCTACCTCTCGGGTTCTGCCTCCAGCCCAGTCCTCTAGGACCCCGTCTCCAGCTCCACCCCAGACCAGGCTTGGTCCCCCTTTCCTTGTTCTCTGGGATTCCAACTCCAGGTTCATTCCCAAACCTCTAGCCTGGCTCCTAGGTTCAGGCTTCCTCCCCAGGATTCAGACCCGGCTCCCACCTCAGACCAGGACATTGCCCAGGCTGCCTGCCAGCAACGCGCCCAGATGGCACCCGTTTCTCCCCGCCTCAGTCCCCAGACTTTATTGACTCCGCCGCCACCCCATCCAAGGCCGCACCAGCAGCATGGCCAGGAAGGCCACTGCCATGAGCACGCTCTCCACCACAATGAGGTTTCGGCTCCGTGGTAACGTCTTCAGAACTGTCTTGTTGAAGCCACTGAGGATGCCCTGGCTGTTAGTACCTGAAGAGTGGGACGCAGGGAGTAGAGCACACTGTCAACTCAACCACAAAGAAATGGACCGAGGAGGGAGGGTGCAGGGGAGAGTCAGGGGTGGTGGGTGAGGACAGTGCTTGCAAAGGCAAGGTTCATTTGGGGAGCAGCTTGGGGGAGAGGGCCACTGGGGCTGGAGGGGCCACAAGGAGAGGAACACCTAGCCCCCCTTCCTGCCCTAGTGCCTGGAGGCTGGAGGTGGGGACCAGTCCATCCCCCAACTGCATACATTCACCCTGCAGTGACTGAGCTCTGAGGATATCTGTGGCTCAGCCCAGATGGCATCTCCTCCAGGCAGCCTTCCCTGATGCACTCTGTCCCCACCAGGCTGGGTCAGATGTCCTAACTGCATACTCCTACAGGGTCCTTTGCCTTGCCCGTAAGAGGTGTGGGCCACCAGGCTCTCAGCCCCGGACCCGTGGGCAAGGGCATCCTCTCTGGGCACTCTCAAGAGCCCAGTGTCTGCCGGATGACTCAATGGGGGAGGTGAACAGGCCTGGGGGTCGCACCCCATGCAGACTAACCGCAGCTCTGCACGTTGTAGAGTGTGTGGTTCAGGTCATACAGGTAGTGGTTCAGGAAGTAGATCATGGGCAGCTGGGCACAGGCGAAGCTCAGCTGTGGGCAGGAGGGCAGCTTGGGCTGGGCTCAGAAGCAGGCACGGGGCACAGGCATGATCTGAAAGGGGTCTGGGCACAGCCTTGGCCGAAGAGGAGCCCTCCCCCCGCTCTGGGGGCAGCCTGGTGGCAGGAGGGAGTGCCCAGCGCAGGAGGACTTTCTCCTCAACAAGGAGACGAGGAGGTCGGTCACCAGAGGTCAGTAAGCAGAGGGCGGCTCAAGAAAGGGCAGTCGGACTGGTGGGTCGAAAGGACTGTGGGATGGGCTCCAACGTGTGGGTTCTGGGCTTGCAACACCCTCCCCCCATGGCGCCAACGTGGAGCTGACTCACATGGAAGAAGCTATAGAAGATCACTTGGAAGACCAGGAGGTATGGCGCGTGGGAGCCCCGCGGCGGGCGCTTCTGGGGGCCCTGATCATCCTGCTCCTTATAATGGGAGTACTCGTAGTACTTCTGAGCCATCCTGGACCACAAAGGAGAGAAAGCTTCCCCCAGTCCAACCTCTACCAGATGTCTCTGATTCCTGCACCCAGGGCTATGGGCTGTGTCTCACGGACGGGGAAACTGAGACCCGAAAGGCAGAGAGAGCTCCGCCAGCTGAGGTTGGCAGTGCGGCAGAGACACAGCCAGGTCTCCAGCCTCCCACCCTGCGGCCCCCCAGGCTCACCTGGTGATGTAGTTGCCCATGGAGGCCCAAAGAGGCACGATGGCCATGCCCAAGGCCACAGCTGAGGGCACGAGTGTGTAGTAGCGTTCCCAGTAGTTGGTGGAGACAAAGAGGGCATAGATGCCCACAGCCAGGAACATCATCCACTTGGTGCCAAAAAACCTGCGGGCAGTAGGAGGGATGCTGGCACCGCGAGCCTGCCCAGACCACTGGGGCCTGAGACCAGAGGGGCCACAGACCCGGGTGCCGGCTCACCAACCAGGCGGTGCGAGACGGAGAGTAATCCCTGGCCTTGGAGTCAGGGGCTCTAAGAGTAGCAGAGACAGGGACTTGCTGGTGGTCTCAGTCCCAGGTCCCCACAATCAGTTTCCACAGCTTAAGGGGGAGCACGCAGCCCAAACCACAAGCTTCTCGTGGCCACTGCAAGGATGGGGGGAGAAGGGGCGGTGTCACCAGTCAGTGGCCTGTGTGTACATCCAGCCCTCATTTGTGTTCTGGGCTGGCTCGCGAATCCCCCTTCTCCATCCAAGCTCACGTGCTGTGGCTTCAGGGCCCAGGGACACAAGTCAAACCGGGTCGAGGAAACTTAGGACCAGAGAGAGGTCCTGGCAGGACCAACATCCCTTCCTCCCTGCCCATCGCTCTTGCCGTCCACTGTGGTCACTTGGGAAGCTCCGTCCTCACTGGCTTCTAGGACAACAGGCTTGCTGACTCAGAAAATGCCACACTGGGCTTAAAGGTGGTTGACCACTGACCGGATAAGGGCCCGCTCAGGGCGCGGAGGCTAGTCAGGCTAAAAACCACTGCCAGGAGCTCTGGGGTGTTTTTGAGTTATTTGTGCTCATTAGTTCCTTTCCTTGCTTTCGCTTCCAGGAAGCTCAAAGCCAAATGACTCTGCTTTTCCGATCACAATTACTTTCTCTATTACAGGGCCCAGTTCTTTTATTATCCTTATTTTGCCATATAAAAAATAGATAGGCAGCCCACTCTGATCTCTTGGGGGGGGGGGGGCAAGTCACATTTTGATGGAGTAAATGAGCAAAAAGTAAAAATATCAGCACTCATTGCTGGCGAGGCTGTGGTTTAAAAAATGATGCGCACAGCCCGAGGCCATGCAAATTGGCACAGCCCTCTAGGAAATCAGCCTGACAGTTTGGGCAAGGGGCAAGCTTAGGGCGAGGGAGTCAAACTTTCCGACTGCCAGGTGCTACCGGGGGGACCTGGGCAAGCCGTTGAATGTCTCGTTTTCTCCTCGTCTCTTAGATCTCCCTGGGATCCTAGGGAATGAGGGAACGCTCAGAAAGTGCCCAGCACATGGGAAATGAAGAATTAGCTATTCTTATCAACAGTGGTATGTTTTCAGAGCCATAGTCTTTCATATGGCTCTGATCTGCTAAATGTACCGCTAGAAATTGATTGTAGAATTTTTTTAATTTTAAGAAGGGAAGAGCTACAAGCATAAAGTGAATATGCAAAAAAAAAAAAAAAAAAAAACACAAGAAGGAGGGGGGCTGAATGTCCAACTCTGAGCCTCGGTTGGGTGCCCCCATCTCTGCAGAAGATTCTACCATCACAGAGTCCTCAGTGTGAATTCAGCACATGCTCTGGTGACAAGGACGTAAACGTTTATCCCTGCATGCTGCTGGGACAACAAAGTTAGCTGATTTACTGGAGGGCTTGGGAGGGTTTTCTTTTTTCTGATTTCAGTTAGGATCCTAATGGTCTTTGTGCGATGATGTTAAAGGAGTTTGGGGTTTGGGGGGTTTGGGGTTTTTTGGTTTTGTTTGTTTGTTTGTTTGTTTTAAGATAGAGGAACTAAAACCCATCTAATTGGTCTGCTAGTCTCTGGGTCTCATCTGAGCGGAGACCCACCTCCTGGTGGGGAGGGTGCATGTGGAGGGGGGTTTTGCACTGGCCAGAAGGCTGGACCAGATGCTTCCAAGGCTCAGGTCCAGGGTAGACCCTCTGGGGCACCTGCCGGGCCATGTCTTCCCTCAATACCGGCCATGGGGCTGATCAGGCCGGGCTTGGTTGCCTGGGCGTTAGGGCTGATCAGATCCTCTCCAGAGATTCCACAGCCCTGGTCTTGGAAAGGTCCCTGTAGCTCCAAACCACGGAGGAGGACACAAAGACAATGCCATGTGGGGCACAGGCAAGGTGAGGGAAGGGGCAGGAGTGGATTTCGGTTGTGGGAAATGTGCCCTGGGGTCAAGTTCCTGCTCCCTTCCCTAAACCTGGGTCCTCCCCTCTCTCTCACCCCTCCAGGTAGGCAAGGCCCCTCCCCAGCTCCCCACCCCCAAGAACACGGGGGCAGGGGGAGACCCCATGGGCCAAGAGCCCTTGCACCCTTCAGTATCTGAGTGACCGTCCAGCCCTGTTGGGGACAGCAGCAACGCACCTGATAAGCACAGGTGTGTAGAGCAAAGCGGCGATGGGCGTCACGTTGATGCCCATCAGCATCTTGCTGTCGATGTCGGGCAGCCCCATGTTGCCATACTTCACCTCTCGGTAGGTCTCATCGTAGTGCAGGATCAGCTGCATCTGCAGGAGGCCTGGGGGGGCAGGGGGCGGGCACAGAGGGGGCAGCCTAACTCCCGCGGCAACGGAACAGAGGCCGGCGCGCGAGCTTGGAGGGAGCGCCAGTCACCAAAGGAGTCCCCGATTCCAACGCCCATGAGGACCGAGAGGGATGCCCAGGCTGGGCCAAGCGTCCTGACAGCCCGTGGCAGCGTCGGCCACTTGAATCCAGATCCTCCCCGCACCCCCCCACCCTTCCCGCGTACACACGTCCAGCGCTCCAGAGCTGGAAGGCGGCAGACCCGCCCAGGGCGCCCAGACCCTGGCCACGCGCTCCCGAAGGTGCTGCCTGGGAATCCAGAACACTGCACCTGACCCCACCTCCATGTGGTGAGGCCACAGCTGCAGCAGCTGCGAGCGCGGCAGAGGAGGAAGTGAAAGAGGAAGGGAAGCCAACCGGCCCCTAAGGTTTCTCTTTCCCTGACCGGGGCTGGGAAGGGAGGCCGCGGGGAAGCCGCGGGTTCTGGCGCTGCGGGCCGCCTACCCAGGTAGACGGCGTAGGTGAGCATGCCCCCCGCGCTGGCCGCCAGCACGTTCTTGACCACGCCGAGGCGCTTGCGCCGGTAGTAGCGGCGCTCCTCCTCCTCCTCGTTGTAGTTGGGGTACGCGCCCACCAGCTCGTCCAGCTGCGGGGCACGCACGGCGTGCACGTCGCACCCGGGCTGGGGGCCCCGGGGGTCGCATCGCACCGCCCCACTCCCGGTACCCGCTGCCACGGCCCGACCCGGGGGCGGCGCCTCCCCGCCGCCCCCACGCCGGGGAGACCCCCCCCCCCGCGCTCCCGGTCCTCGCACCCCCCCCTCACAGACCCGTCCCCGCTCACCGGAGCCCCCGGCCCGTCGGGGACACCGAGCCGGTCCTCGTCGCCCTGCGGCCCCGCGGCCCCCGCCACGCGGTAGAGCGGCGGCACCGCCTCCATGGCCCGACCCCGAGGGAGCACTGACGGCGGCCGCCTGGGGTGCACGAGCGGCGGGCCGGACACTTCCTCCAGGCGGCGGGCCCCGCCCCGCCCCGCGGGTCGCCGGCTCGCGAGGGGCGGGGCCCAAGGTGTCCGCGAGCGCGGGGGCGGGGCGGGGGGCGGGGCCTGTGTCCCCGGGCCGCCGGGACCTGGCCTCGGAGACGGGAGGGGCAAGTTCGACTCTTCGCTCAGCCGTTTCCTGGCTTGGTAGCTTTGGGAATCAACTCCACTTCTCTGGGTCTCCGTTTTCTCACTCAGCACGGCTTCCCAGGGCAATCACCGGATTGCTAAATTAATGCAGAGCCTTGGGGGGCCTGGGGGGCTCAGGTCATGATCTCACGGTTTGTGGGTTCGAGCCCCAGGTCGGGCTCTGTGCTGACAGCTCAGCGCCTGGAGCCTGCTTCGGATTCTATGTCTCCCTCTCTCTCTCTGCCCCTCCCCTGTTCATGCTCTCTCTCTTCTCAAAAATAAAATCATTGAAAAAAAATTTTTTTTTAATTAACGCAAAGCCTTAGAAGAGTGCCAGGCCATAATAGGCTCTACTCAGGGCTACCAGTGTCGCCCTCAGCTCCACCTCCACGCCCCATGCGGTGTGTTTGCAGGTCAGCAAAGAGCCCCCCACAGCAGCCCCACGGAGGGATCCCACCACCGGACTTGACAGCCGGTGCCCTCCTCCCATGCACCGCCCTCCAGTTGCGGTGCGGCGGCTGCAGGCAGAAGCTCTGGCAGAGCTGGTGGGAGGCTGCTGGCTGCGCCCCGGAGCCTCCTGCACCCTCCCCGTGGGGTCCGCCCTGCAGCGGAGCCCCCGAAGTTCTTGCGTTGCAGGAGCTGAGGCTCCACAGCGCTGGCTATCACCTTGGTTGCGACCACTTGGGAAGCTTTTAAAAATCTACAGTTCCCAGGTCAGTCTCTTCAACAGATGGTGTTGCGAAAACTGGATAGGTAACCTCACGCAGAAAATGAAGCTGGATCCCCATCTGACACCCTCACAGAATTTAATTGAAATGGATGGAAGGCTTAAAACCATAAAACTCCTAAAAGAAAACAGGGCAAAAGCTTCTTGACATGGGCCTTGGAAAGATTTTTTGCGTATCACACCAAAAGCACAAACAGTACAAGAAATAAAAATCAACAGGTGGGACGACATCAAACTTAAAAGCTTCTGCACAGCAAAAGTAAACAGTTAAGAGATAGCAAATGTCAGTGAGGATGCAGAGAAAATGGAACCCTTGTGCCCTGCTGGTGGGGTGGCAAACTGGCCGGGCCATCTTGGAGAATAGTCTGGAGGCTCCTCAGAAAACTCACAGTAGAACCACCACATGATCTAGCAATCCCACTTCTGGATGTACGTCCAAAGGAAAAGAAAACAGGTTATCAAAAATATGTCTACACTCCCATGTTAATGCAGTCTTATAATAGCCAAGATACAAAAGCAACCTAAGTGCCCATCAGTGGGTGAATTTAGGGTAAAGAGGATGTGATGCATATAGACACAATGACACACTTTTCAGCTGGGAGGAAAAAAGAGAAAATTCTGCCGTTTGCAACAGCGTAGATGGACCTCGAGGACATTATGCTAAGGGAAACAAGTCAGAAAGAGAAGGACACGCATGATATGACACACCTTATATGTGGAATCTAAAAAGCACAACAAGGGGGTGCCTGGGTGGCTCCGTCGGTGAAGCGTCCGACTTTGGCTCAGGTCATGACCTCGCGGTTCAAGAGTTCAAACCCCGCCTCCGGCTTTGTCCTGACAGCTCAGAGCCTGGAGCCTGTTTCTGATTCTGTGTCTCCCTCTCTCTCTCTCTCTCTCTCTCTCTTTCTCTCTCTGTCCCTCCCCTGGTCATGCCGTCTCTCTCTCTAAAATAAACAAACATTAAAAATAGAACTAAAAAGAACAACAACACTGACTCAAAAAAACACAGTGGAGGGGCGCCCGGGTGGCTCAGTCAGTTGGGCGTCTGACTTTGGCTCGGGTCATGATCTCACGGTTCCTGAGTTCGAGCCTCACATCGGGCTCTGTGCTGACAGCTCAGAGCCTGAAGCCTGCTTTGGATTCTGTGTCTCCCTCTCTCTGCCTCTCCTCCGCTTGACTCTGTCTCTCTCTCTCGCAAAAATAAATAAACATTTGGGGGGCGCCTGGGTGGCGCAGTCGGTTAAGCGTCCGACTTCAGCCAGGTCACGATCTCGCGGTCCGTGAGTTCGAGCCCCGTGTCCGGCTCTGGGCTGATGGCTCGGAGCCTGGAGCCTGTTTCCGATTCTGTGTCTCCCTCTCTCTCTGCCCCTCCCCTGTTCATGCTCTGTCTCTCTCTGTCCCAAAAATAAATAAACGTTAAGAAAAAAAATTAAAAAAAAAAAAAAAGAAACTAAAAATTGGGGATGGCAATCACCACGGGCTGTTGGGACGTGTCCCCAAGCTGAGATGTGCCAAGGACACTGCCCGGTGCCTGGCAGAGCAAATGTCCAGGAAACGGTGGCTGTTGCTTTCGGCGTAGAGATGAGGCTCCCGGGCACTGGGGTGACTCCCCTCGGCTCCTAAGCAAGGACTCGGGGCACCCTGGAAACGCTGTGGGCCAGGGAGACAGGCCTGGCTGGACTGGAGTCCCCATCTGTCACTCTTGCTGTGTGGGCCAGAGGGCAACAACCTCTCTGAGCCTGTTGTCTGTCCTGCAAAGCTAGGACCATAATGTCTGAGACTTACGTGAGAATTTGCGTTGAGCGCCCGGCTCGGGGCCTAGCATACCGTAGGTGCTTAGTCCGGGTTTGCTGAGTGTGTGCTGGCCCTTGGCGACAAGTTAGCACCAGCGGCTTCTAACTCTGCCCCTGGAATGGGTCCTCCTGGTTTCTGAGGGGAAGCTGGGGGGGCGGGGGGCGGGGGGCGCAGAGAGAGGAGCCAGGGTGGTCTCGCCTCTAAGGCAGAGACAAGGAAGGAAGGGCCCCAGGGACAAGAGCAGGGGTGGCCACGGCCTCAGGAGGGTGGGAAAGGGGCAGAAAGGCATCCGTGCCTATTGAGCACCTACTGTATACCGGGTGTTTCCAAACGGGCTTCTGTTTCATCTTCTTGGCAGCCCACGAGGCAGGAAGAGTCAGCCCCGTTTCACAAGGGGGGCGGGGGGGTGGTGTGGAAGCGAAGGCCCAGAGGGGCCATGACAGGCTCAAGCCGCTTACAGGTGGGCCAAGGAGCCCGGCTGGAGTCTGTCAGCAGGCCAGGCAGGGCTGTGCTCTTGAGCAGGCCTGAGGCCCCATGCACCAGGCTCACCGGGGTGTCTGAGGGAGGGAGGAGGGGAATGAATGAGTGAATTAATGAGTCTGCCCGATGCCATCACCCCCCCGTGGCCAGCCCACCCTCCCCCACCTCTCTACCCTGGAGAAGGGGGCCAAAGGTGACGATGATGAAGGTCATTTCATCCAAGCCTCCAAACTAAAACCCAGAGGAGCTGTCAAAGGGCAGGGCGCCTGAGGGCCTCTGTGTCCCCTCTTCCAACCTCCGTGCTCCCCCAACGTCCACCCCACCTGGGTCCTTGGCAGAGTCTGTCACGCACCAGAGCTGGCCCTAAGCGAGCCCCTCGGTAGACCCCCACGCAGACCTCTCCCCATTTATCTCGAGGTTTCCACAACACAGACATGACCTCCAGACCCCTGAGGACCTGGAACCTCGAGGACCAGTAGAGGCATCCAACCCAGAGAGGGGAGAGGGCTGGTACCTGTTCCTCCCCGACAGGCAGTGCCCACTCAGGCTCCCAGGCCAGGTTGGGACGCCTGTGCCAGGGGGTCAGGCCTCTTTGGAGATGCCCCACGCTGTTCCTGAATTCGTGACAAGTCCACGGGTAGCCCCTGCAAAGCGGTCCCTGGCCAGGGAGGGTCCCTTCAGGATCCTGCAACACCCATCTTACCCACCAGTACTTCCCCAGGCGGGTCCCTGATTTGCTGTGTAGCCTTAGGCCAGCGGCTGCCCCTCTCTGGGCCCGGTTCCTGACTCGGGGCTGTGAGGCTCAGCCCCAGCCCAGCCCCAGCCCAGCCCCGCCTGGTGCCGGCTCTGCCTCTGCCTTTGCCTGGCTCCGCTCCAGACAGCAGGGCAGGGCTGTCACATGCTGAGCCACGTGACAGGCAGCGGCCGGGGGCTCCATCCCACGCCGAGGACGGGGGCCCCGCGGCCCGTCACCCCCGTCCCAGCTGGCTGAAGCCTCCAGGGACCAGAGCAGGTGTGGGCCAGGAGACCTCTCCTGCCCCCCAGGTAGGCAGGGACAGCAGGGAGGGCAGGGAGGTGAGGAGACTCCCAGGTGCCGGGTCGGCCCAGGGGCCCCAGGCCAGGATCCCGGGCAGACCCAAGGCACCGAGGCAGAGAGGCAGCAGTGGGCCCAGGGCCCGGGCCCAGGGCGGTGGCACAAAGGATGGTCCTGCCCCCGCACCTGTAACCTAATCGCCTGGCTGTCTGACACCAGGAGCTGCTCGGGAACCATCCCCCTCGGCACAGCTCAGGCACCAGAGGGGCAAGCTCACAGGAACCACCATGGGGACACATCATGACAGCTGTCCTCGAGGGCAGAGGGTGGCGCTCTTCCCTAAGGAGGCGATAGGGGACATCTGGGGACGACACGGCCCCTCTGCTCCAGAGCGACAAGCTTCCAGTGTGGGTCCCGGCCCTGACATGCTTGCCCTGGGTGGTCAAGCCCTGTCCCCTCTCGAGGGCCGTGTTTTCTCGCCGTAAACTGTCAGGTTGCAGGGTGACATATTATTCCGTGAGGCGGTGCTGGATGAGGTGGTGTTGACAGACACGACAAGATGGGGAGAGCTAGGGAATGGAGGGGTTCGTGAGCCCTGCGATCGTCTTTCTGGACTCCAGCCATCTTTGACGCTGATCTCTTCGTTTTGCACATGGAAAATCTGACGCTCGCAGGGGCTGGGGGGTGGTGTGGGGGCAGGGCTTTCCCTGTGATTCCGGACTACTGGACCCCCACCCCACACCATAATTCCCAGGGTCAATGCCTTGGGCTCTCCTCCTCCTCCTCCTCCTCCTCTTCCTCCTCCTCCTGGG